CCACCCCTAGCTAATGCAGGTGGCAACTCTGTCTCTTTCTTTCTCTCTCTCTCCCTCTCAAAAGAAAATAAAATTAAACCTAAGCACAAAAGCTGAAATTTATGATTTCTTTAAAATAAACACATGTGGGGAGGCCAGTGCTATGGCTCACTTGGTTAATCCTCCGTCTGTGCCGGGTTCTAGTCCCACCTGCTCCTCTTCCAGTCCAGCTCTCTGCTGTGGCCCAGGAAAGCAGTGGAGGATGGCCCAAGTGCTTGGGCCCCTGCACCTGCATGGGAGACCAGGAAGAAGCACCTGGCTCCTGGCTTCGGGCCGATGCAGCACCGGCCGTGGTGGCCATTTGGGGAAAGAACCAACGGAAGGAAGACCTTTCTCTCTGTCTCTGTCTATAACTCTACCTATCAAATAAAAATAAATAAATAAATAAATACATGTGGGGCCAATGCTGTAGCGTAGCGGGTAGAGCGCCACCTGCAGTGCTGGCATCCCATATAAGACACCAGTTCAAGTCCTGGCTGCTCCACTTCCAATCTAGTTCTCTGTTATGGCCTGGGAAAGCAGTGGAAGATGGCCCAAGTTCTTGGGCCCCTGCACCCACGTGGGAGACCTGGAGGAGGCTTCTGGCTCCTGGCTTCAGATCGGCACAGCTCTGGCCTTTGGGGCCAATTGGGGAGTAAACCAGCGGATGGAGGACCTCTCTCTCTCTCTGCCTCTCCTTTTCTCTGTAACTCTTTCAAATAAATACATCTTTAAAAATAAATAAATACATGCATGGGGCCGGTGCTGTGGTGTAGCGGGTTAAGCTGCCATCTGCAGCGCCGGCATCCCCCAGGGGCTCCAGTTTGCATCGAGCTCCCTGCTAATGCACCTAGGAAAGCAGTGGAAGATGGCTCAAGTCCCTGGGCCCTTGCTCCCACGTGGGAAACCCAGATGAAGTTCTGGCTCTTGGCTTTGGTATGCCCAGCCATAGCTGCTGTGGCCATTTGGGGAGTGAACCAGTGAGTGGAAGATCTCTCTCTGTAACTCTTTCAAATAAATAAATCTTTAAAAGCGAAATCCATGCCTATTATAAATGTCTCCTCACTGCTCCCACTCTTAGGCCCTCTCTCCACATCAACCACTCTTAATAGTTTGTGCATCTTTCCAATAAGCTTGTTTGTCTGAGCTCATATGTGTGAGAATCGTGTCCCTTTTCAACATGAAAGGAAGCCTACTTCACTCAGTGCATCTCCACGTAACACCAAATCTTGGCGGTCATTCCGTATCATACCTACCAGTATGCTAGTGGGTGCTCACCTCATGTTTCCCAACAATGCAGAGCCACTTTCTAGATGGCCTGTTTTTTATTTAACCAGTTTTCTATGATGGTAGGTGAGATTGTAGCCATCACTGCAAACAGTGGTACTGCAAACAGTCCTGCAATGCATATCATTGTGTATTTTTTTATATACACAAGTACTGGGTATGTAGTGGATGTATTCAATCTATTCATCATCAATAGCTCAGAGATATAGACAGGGGCCAGCATTGTGGCATAGTGGTAAAGCCAATGCCTGCAATGCCAGCATCCCATATGGGTGCTCGTTTGTGTCTCAGCTGCTCCACCGCTGATCCAGCTCCCTGCTAATGGCCTGGGAAAAGCAGTGAAGATCACCCAAGTGCTTGGGCCCCTGCCACTCACGTGGGAGACCTGGATAAAGCTCCTGACTCCTAGCTTTGTGTTGGCTCAGCCCTGCCCATTGCAGCTGTGAGGGGAAGTGAACCAGGTCATTGGAAGATCTCTCTCTCTCTCTCTCTCTCTCTCTCTTCCCCTTCTCCCCCTCTCTCTGTAACTCTTTAATTTCAAGCAAATTAATAAATCTTTATACACACACACACACACACACACTCCCAGGGGTGGCATTTCTGGGTCAAAGGATATGCATATGGATATAAATAATTTATTTGGAAAAGCATCCTGCAGATTATATCATAGTCAGGATATATTTAACTCAGTCTCCCACTCCTACATCTAAAATAGGAAATGATGATTTCCATCAATAAAATAGTCTAATACCTCAAATTACCTTTTAGATTATCAAAGAAAAACCTAATTTCCCATGGTTTTGTTCTGTTTCACCCTTGAAGAACATTATATACTTTAGCTAAAAGAGAGGGAGAGAGAGAGAATTTTCCATCCATTGGTTCACTACCCAAATGGCCTCAATGGCCAGGGCTGGGCCAGGTTGAAGCCAGGATCCAGGAGCTTCATCCAGGTCTCTCATGTGAGTGCAGGGGCCCAAGGACTTGGGCCATCTTCTGTGGGCTTTCCCAGGCACATTAGCAGAAAGCTGGATCAGAAGTGGGGCAGCCAGGACTCGAACAGGCACCCATATGGAATGTCAGCACCACAGGCAGCAGCTTAACCTGATACACCATAGTGCCAGCCCCTAGCATCCACATTAATGCTTTTATTTCTATATACCCTGCCCTTCCCTAATCTTGGGCCTCAGGAAGTGGCTTTCTAACTGGCCTCAAAGCCTTACAGTCTTTCAGACTTCCCTGGAATAATTCTTGTAGTGAAATAATACTTTTAAAACGGCCAAATCAAGAGCCAAATCTAAACACCTCTTTCTAGATAGGGTTTCCAGGGCTGGTCTCAACCCAACTCTGAGCTGACCTCCATCACTCCCTCCAGTCAGAACATTCGTCCATGGTGTCCCCAAACACACAGTACTCATTTTCTTGCTTTTGTGTCTGCTTTTCCCCCTTATCTGAAGAAGCCTTCCTCCAGCTCTCCACCTGCAGAAACCCTGCATACTTTGCTAGTCCACCCCGAGTCTTGCTTCTTTCCTTGACCGCCCTAGAGTAGGATAATTCCTCCCCTCAGAACCCTATTAAACTCTTTCCTATCGCACTTACCTTTGCTGGAGTGTCTCTTGCTCACAAGGTACTTCGAAAATTCATGGAAGGGGCTGGCTGCTGCGGCTCAGTGGGTTAAAGCAGCGGTCTGCAGCACCAGCCTCCCCTGTGGGCCCGGTTCAAGTCCCAGCTGCTCCACTTCCAATCCAGCTCCCTGCTAATAGCCCTAGGAAAGCAGTGGAGGATGGCCCACGTCCTTGGACCCCTGCACCCAAGTGGGAGACCCAGAAGAAGCTCCTGGTTCCTGGCTTCAGATTGGCTCAGCAGCAGCTGTTGCGGCCATTTGGGAGCCATTGTATGGCTATATGCCATACAATTTTAATTTAAAAAAAGTTCATGAAGGGGCTGGCGCTGTAGTTCACTTGGTTAATCCTCCGCCTGCAGTGCCAGCATCCCATATGGGCGCTGGTTCTAGTCCTGGTTGCTCCTCTTCCAGTCCAGCTCTCTGCTGTGGCTCAGGAGGACAGTGGAGGATGGCCCAAGAGCTTGGGCCCCTGCACCCGCATGGGAGACCAGGAAAAAGCACCTGGCTCTTGGCTTCGGATTGGCGCAGCGCCGGCTGTAGCAGCCATTTGGGGGTGAACCAGCGGAAGGAAGACCTTTCTCTCTGTCTCTCTCTCTCTCTCTCTGTCTATAACTCTGCCTGTCAAATAAAGAAAAAAAAAATCACGGAAACATGGAATTAAAAGATAAGTTTAGAGTTAGCCATTTGGCTTAGTAGCATCTCACACTGGCATGCCTGAGTTTGAATCCTGGTTCTGCTCCTGATTCCAGCTTCCTGTTAATGCAGACCCTAGGGAGCAGCAGGCAGTGGCTTGAGTAGCTCTGCAATAAGAGACCAGGCAGGCTTGGCCATAGCGGGCCTGTGGGTAGTGAACCAACAGACAAAACTCTTTCTCCTTTGCTCTCTCTCAATTACATTTTTGCAAAGATGTTTATTTTTGTGGAACAAAATTTCGGAACCCACGAAGAGCTTTTTCCTAATACGCATTTCCATGAACTTTTTGACAGTCTCTCAATAAGCAGTTCTGGTAACTGCATTATTTGGAACACGTGGCAATCAGAATTGTATTCTGCGCCGAAAATCAACTTCTCAGGGGGAAAGAAAAAACGAAATTCTCTTCCACAAATGTGGGGCTGGGAGTTGCAGGGGTACTAAACTTACAGCTAAGCTCACACCCGGTCTTCCCTTTCCAGGTGAGGGAACAGGCTGGGTTTATGGCAACAAGCTCGCTGGTTCTAGTTTCTGCATACGCGAGTATCCGGAGCGATGCAAGCAGAGGCCAGGCTCTCTCCAGAGGTCTAGGACAAACCCTGGGCCACTTCCATTTCCTGAGGTTCTCGCCGTGTAGGAAACGGATGTAACCGCGCGTTACAAAAAAACGGTGGCGTCTTTTGAATCTTTGCATGGCGCCCTCGTTCTCCCTCAACTCCCTCGCTGTGCCCTGGTGTCTCATCTTCCTGATGGAAACAACACTAATGGAAAGGTGAAATAACCTCGCAATTGCACTGTTCCGGGCTGTGCATTATGTTGGACTCCTGGGCCCACAGCGATGACTGTGCAATAACGGAGGCGCCAGCTTGCAACGCGCAATGCGGGCGAGGCAGCCGCGCCGGTCCCGTGTGCTCCCGTCGGGGTCCGTCCCCGCAGCACGACCCATAGCCCTTCCGGACGACCAACCAGGTCTCCCACCCATTCTGCCGACAGCCATTGGTCCCCTCGGAGACCGGTACGGAATGCCTGACCCGGGTCCCGGCTCTGGGGACCCCAAAACGTGGAGGACCACAAGAGCAGGCTGGAAAGGCCAGGAGGCGAGCCCACTAAGGCACCAGGGCAACGCGACGCAGGAACGCCAGCCCACACCGCCCCGCCCAGAACGCGCGCGCCCGCGGCTCCGAGTCGCGGCCCGCCCCCTTGCCTTCTGCCCAACCAAAGGCCACTTCCTGCCTCACTCCAGGCCAATCCTCACACTCCACGAAGAATAGCCCTAGGGGGCGTATGGGAAGGTGCATAGAGCGATGGCCACGCCGACCAACCGGGTCGCGGAGCCTGCGCGGCGAGGCGGGACTTGGCGCTGGTCATAGCTACTCAACAGCGAGGGGCGGGCGCAGGGCCGGGCTTCGCGCTGTGGGGTCGCTCGCGCGGCGGCGGTAGCTGAGGCCTCTTGGTTCTGCGGCACGTGACGGTCGGGCCTCCTCTGCCGCCGTCTCCACTGCAGCGCGGGGCCAGGTGTGTGGGTAGAAGGCATCGGCATCGCCGGCTCTAGGTGAGAGGGGAGGCCTGCGCCCGTCCTCGAGCCTGTGAGGCCCCCCCCGGGGCCCTGGGAAAGGGCGCTGCGGCCGAAGGGTCGGGCGTGGCCAGGGGCCCAGGGGTCGGGCTGGCTCTCGAGGGCCCGGGCCCTGGCGGCCGCGAGGGGCGAGCCCCAGCTTGGGTCGCGGAGCCGGGCCTAGGCCTCGCCGCCGGGGTCGGGAGGCGTGGCAGGTGCCCCAGGGCCTCCCTTGACCTCCGGGAGAGCTAACTTATTCCTGGGGCTTTCTTAGGCCTGTTATTGGCTGTCTGGGCAGTCGCGAGGTGGGCTGGAGTGGGGTGGGGCCTAGTAGGTGCCCCCTAAGTAGTGGAGAACGGGACTATCTGACCGAGAGAGAATAATCAGGGTTAGCGTTACAGGTTCAGTGTTTGAAAATAAGAGGAGAGAGCGAACACTGGGCTCGAGCACCCTGAAGAGTGCGGAGAACGTGCTAGAAGGCGCAGTGGTGGAAAAAGTTAAGTCTCAACAATAACAGCACCAGCCGTGGTGAGGGGAGTAAGGCAGGCAGCGATTCTCTGGACGCCTCAAAGTGGAGAGCGGTCGGGAGATGGCCTGCCGCACCTCGTTTTACACTGGAGGAAACTGAGGCCTGGAGGTACGAAGTGCCTGGCCCAAGGTCATGCGATCGCTTTAACGAGCGCGCTGAGCTCACGGTTGAGGGCTAGGTGGGTGGCTTTGGTGTAGCGGTTAAGGCTAAGGCCCTGGTTCAAGCGCTTCACGGGGCTGTTGCTCCGTGAACTTGCCCCGTTTCCAGTAGTGGATGTAATCATAACCCGACGCACTTCAGTTAAGAGGGAATAAAATGGGACAGGGACTACAGACTGAATGGCTTGGGCCACGACATTGGCGTTTTAGTCTTCAGAGTGGGTTGAGGGGTGTTTCCCAGACTTGCATTCACAGAGAGGGAGTAATTGAATCGGGTGGATTAACTGCTGGATATGACACAATTACCGGTTGAGGGAAGTTAAACTGAGTGAATATTAAAAGCCCCAGAGGACAAAGGTGAATCCCAGTTAAGTTTCTTCACCTCAAATTTAGGAAATGGAGAGTTTCGCTTAATTTTTTTTAATAAACCAAGTTTTTTTAAGGTTCCGAATCGTACTGCTCCTTAGCATTGGTCGGTATCTCTGTCTTCGCAGCAGTGGTTGAGGGTCACAGGTAGAACCACCTGCCACGTTTGCTATAATTAAACTTGCACCCGAGAGACCAGAGTGGGAGTTCCTCCTTTGCAGCAGCCGAGGCCTCCGTGAACTGTGCAGTGTGGAGTGAATGTCCCACAACAGAAATTTTCCAGCCTCTCTGAAAATGAGTGTCAGCATCCACCCACCTCACTATCTTAACCCCGCAGTTGTGTTGAGTGCATTATCTTCCAAGGGCCCCAGGGTGCTGCAGTGTCGGCAATCACACTATTGCATCCTTTAGTTACAGAGTTCATTTTTCCTTGTGAGATAGTGAGATAACCGGAGGGGACACAATGGCAGTTGGTAAAGGGACATGCAGGCTCATAAACTGGCGTTCTTGGCCCAGCGTGGTAACCAGCTTCTGTGCCGCTTTGGTTCCCATATCTTTGCCTTGGGAATGACAGACTCCTTGATGCCTCACCTTGAGGGGGCAATTGGGAAGGGCAGATAATTTGCTGGTGTAATCAACTATGCAAACAGAATGGTCAGTTCATGTTTAACTCCTTAAGAAACAATAAAAATGTCCATAGTTGTAACCTCTGTAGCGTACTGCAAAACTAAAGCAACAAATGTACGTTCTAAGCCTAGCTGTGAGCTGTGGAAATTGAGAATTTTGTTTCTTAACGAATTTTGAGAATCATTGGCATGTTCTGAGTGTTCACATCTTCAACCTCAGTTTATAGGAAAAATAAAGTGTTGTAGAAAAGTCAGTTCTACTGTTCCTGTCAATCAAAATTCATAAATGTAAATAAAGCAACATGGATCTAAATCTGCTTTAAAATGGACACACACTTTCAGTAGGGACCACTTTGAGTTCTGTGCTTCCCGTACCCCCTTGAATTGTTTCTCTTTTGACTTTTGACATGGTCATGAAATTAGAAGGCACAAAAAAGCAGTAAAGTGGTTTATCTGTGACTGGAATCAAATTCCTTTTAAATGTTTCCTCTCCAATCTAAGACTTAAATTATTTGCTTTAGAATTCAGTTTTGGGGGCCGCCACTGTGGCTCACTTGGTTAATCCTCCGCCTGCGGCGCCGGCATCCCATATGGGTGCCGGGTTCTAGTCCTGGTTGCTCCTCTTCCAGTCCAGCTCTCTGCTGTGGCCCAGGAAAACAGTGGAGGATGGCCCAAGTGCTTGGGCCCCTGCACCTGCATGGGAGACCAGGAAAAGCACCTGGCTCCTGGCTTCTGATCGGCGCAGCGCTGGCCGTAGTGGCCATTTGGGGAGTGAAGCAACGGAAGGAAGACCTCTCTCTCTCACTGTCTAACTCTGCCTAATTAAAAGAAAAAAAAAAAAAGGAATTCACTTTTGGAACCATTAGAATTTAACAAAAGGTGTTACTGAGCAATATCTAGTAACAGCAAAAATCACAGCTGATGTTGCCTGTGTGCTGTAAATAAGTGGTGTCAGTGACTTTTATGTGCATTTTGTTTATACAACAATCCAAGAGTAGATGCTGTTATCCTTTTAGAGTTGAAGAAACCGAGGCCCAGAAGTTAGTCATGAGCCCCAGATGGCATGTTATTGAGTTTCTGACTGGGTATTGTCACTTGAATTTCTGCCTGTACTCATGTCTCTAGCTGGGATCCTGGAGAGATTATGTCAACTTCTCTAACTTTTAGTTTCTTTACTTGTGAAATGGGGAAGTTAGAACCTCCTGGGGGTCCTGATGAGAGTTATGAATCTACCTGAGGTGTCTGAAACTCGTAAGACTTAGTATTTCATATCTTTTATTAAGATTATTTATTTGAAAGGCAGAATGACAGATCTTCTATCTACTGGTTCACTCCCCAAATGGCTGCAATGACCAGGCTGGGCCAGGCTGAGTCTAGGAGCCAGAAACTCCTTTTAGGCCTCCCACTTGGTGGCTGGGACCCAAGTACTTGGGCCGTGATCCGCTACCTTCCCAGGCACCTTAACAGGAAGCTGGGTCAGAAGCAGAGTAGCTTGGATTGGAAACTGGTGGCTGAATCCCTGCAGCACAATACTGGCCTCGCTGCCTGTTTTTAAAACCAAACAACATTAGACTAGGTCATTTCTTATGTTCCTCTTTCTGACTTCTCATAGGTTAAAGGAATTAACTTTCTTTTTAAAAGAGAGTCTCATAAAAGCCCACAACCAAGTAATTTCACTGCTGGGTTTTACCAAAAACTTTGGAAAGAATTAACACCAGTCTTTAACAAAATCTTTTTTTTTTCCCTTAAGATTTATTTGTTTGGTTTAAAGGCAGAGTTAGATCTTCCATCTGTTGGTTCACTCCCCAAATGGCAGCAGCTGCCAGGCCAAAACCTGGAGCCTGGAACTCCATCCAGTTCCCCCATGGGGATGGCAAGGAGCTATATTTGGAACCAGTGCTCAAATGGGATGCTATCGTCACAAGGTGGTGACTTGTCCTGCACCACATCAGCCCCCCCCCTTAACAAATACACAAGAAAACACTGTAGGCCACTGTCTGTCTTGAAAAGAGAGGCAAAAATCTTTTATAAAATGCTAGCAAACAATTCACAAGCATAATATTTTATTTTTTAAAGATTTATTATTTATTTAAAAGGCAGAGTAACGGAGAGTCAGAGAGTCTGTCGGCTGGCTCACTCCCCAAATGTTTGCACCAGCCAGGACTGGCCCGGGTCAAAGCTAGGAGCCAGGAGCTTCTTCCAGGTCACTTGGGCCATCTTCCACTGCTTTCCCAGCCACATAAGCAGGGAGCTGGTCCAGCAATATAGAAAAAAGACTATATACTGTGACCAGCTGGGATTTATTCCAGGAATGCAAGGTTGGTTCAGCATGTAACAGTGAATAATATGCCAGATTAATAAAAGAAACCCCGTGATCATCTCACAAGAGCCAGAGAAAACATCCTTTCATGATAAACGCTAAACATAGTAGGGATAGAAAGGAACTTCCTCAGCCTGATTCAAAAAATCATCTCTTGAAAAGATAAAATGTAAAAATACAGAGAAACTTGAAAATAGTTTGAGCTCTTGTTTATCTTTTTATTTAATTTTTTTTTTTTTTTTGACAGGCAGAGTGGACAGTGAGAGAGACAGAGAGAAAGGTCTTCCTTTTGCCATTGGTTCACCCTCCAATGGCCGCCGCGGCCAGCGTGCTGCGGCCAGCGCACCGTGCTGATCCGAAGCCAGGAGGCAGGTACTTCTCCTGGTCTCCCATGTGGGTGCAGGGCGCAAGCACTGGGGCCATCCTCCACTGCACTCCCAGGCCATAGCAGAGAGCTGGCCTGGAAGAGGGGCGACCAGGACAGAATCCGGTGCCCCGACCGGGACTAGAACCCTGTGTGCCAGCGCCGCAAGGCGGAGGATTACTCTATTGAGCCACGGCGCCGGCCTGCTCCACTTCTGATCCAGCTCTCTACTATGGCCTGGGAAAGCAGTGGAAGATGGCCCAAGTCCTTGGGCCCCTGCACCCATGTGGGAGACCTGGAAGAAGCTCCTGGCCATTGCAGCCATTTGGGGAGTGAATCAGCAGATGGAAGGCCCCTTTATCTGTAACTCTGCCTCTTAAAAAAAAAAAAAATAGGATGTTTATGTTCAGCCACATTTCCTCCCCTTTTTTAAAATCGGCCGTAAAAAAATTTTGACTTTTCTTTGCACTTCCCTGGGGGCAAACCGTGTCTAAAAAGCCTGTATATGGTTCCCAAAATTTTAATCTCAGGAGTTCCTTAGAGAAATAAAGGGCCGGCGCCGCGGCTCACTAGGCTAATCCTCCGCCTAGCGGCGCCGGCACACCGGGTTCTAGTCCCGGTCGGGGCGCCGGATTCT